CTCTTTAGCTCGCAATTCTCAGTAATATTCCTTGTGGATGTTCGCGGCAAAACATGTGTTATGAAAGTGGTCTGTCAATCTTGAACAATGTGATGGGTCTATTCACTGATATTTGAATTTCTCGGATAAGCAGGATCATGACAATGGCCCAGTCAAACCTGCGCCTCCAGAACGTGAGACAAACATCTATATCTGCGAACCAACTGCCTATAGGCGATTGAAGAAGCATGGGTTATGCGACTGTGGCATTGTACCACAGTTCTATGGAACCATGGAGAGGCTTGATCTGCGGCTCTTCCAGCCTCATCTGAAGATGCTTCTTGATGACAAATATCCTCCTAATGCAGTTTTTCTGGAGTGTATTCCTAATATGGAAATGCTCCTTCCACAGAACTATACGAGGAAGAGGATGGAGAATTTGGTGCATGGTATCCGAGAGATTCACAGAGCATTGGTCCTGCATTGCGATGCTAAGCCGCGAAATATGATGGTTGTCAGAGATGACCCCGAAAGGGTGGTCTGGCTTGACTTTGACAGAGCTCAAACGTATCATGCGGATAAGCTTACTGAGAGACAGCGAAGGTTTCTTGAGGATTACTAGTAAGTGTCTGACTACTAAGTACAGGGATCTAGGTATGGCTAACATCGAAAATGTGTTCCAATAGGAAGCTGATCATGTGCAAGGTGAAATAAATGAGACCTACCTTTATTACTGCTCCTGATAGACTCATTCTGTCTGAGAAGTTAAATAAGAGTCAGGCGAGGAATCAAGAAGTTCACAAAACCATGAGAGTGTCTAAGGAACTGGTAGCTGGGAGACAAGTAATATGTGGGGAGCTCTAGAGAAAATGCAAACCCTTAACGAAAGTGAACTGTTCCAAGATGCCAGGCAGAGCAGACCTCAGAAAGGAGGTTATTTTGAATCTAGGAAGGAGCTGGCCCATGGAGAGCCAAGATCAATGCCGAAGGCTACAAGTCGGGTTTGTGATTAGGTACTTTTGAAAAGGAAGTGCAAACGCAGTTGAGTTTTTCTATTTTAGGAAAGCCTTAAACACGGTTGCTTAATGCTATGATTTAACAATATTGTGAGGCATTCTGGCACCCAGTTAGCTAGCATACACACAGAACAAGCTTGATACTTGAGCTGTCTGTACATTGGGTTGTAGAAGACGAAACTGTTCTTGATCAAATAGCATAAGTCAAGCTGCTATGAAGCCTTTTTTTTAAGGAAAAAAAATATTTTCTAATTTGAAGACTTCCAAGAAATTACATAGTAAAAGGTAATTGCCAATGAGGGCACTTTTGTTGCAGAGTAGACACTCATTAGGTTGTATCTATAGGCATACCAGCTTGAATTACAACAGATAAGGATGTGACTGAATATCTTGAGTTTGTGCCTTAAATTATGCTAAAGATTGCAGATGTCAGGAAATCTTAGGTAGGAGGATGAAGTTCTGTAGCTAGTAATCAGTAAACTTATTCAAGGTTATTCCGTGTATTTTTTTTCTGTCTTCAGTCCTACACTAAGTAAAATCATTAGTTAGTCATTTGTGAGATTGACGGTTAGAGCTTTCTCATATGACAACTCCTGGAAGAAACGACGCCTCTTCTGCTGATCAAACTTGCAGGTAATAATGCAGCCGGTGCCCATCTTTGTTATCTTAATCTTTTCTCTATATAGTTCCTAGCTTAGATATTGCAAATAGCTAGTACAAGGATAAGGGAAGGATAGGTAAAGATAGGGCAAATAAGCTTGGGTGAGTTAATCACCTGACAGGTTACTTAGCTCACCTGCCCAAAGTAGTAATGTCCAAGTGAGGAAGGAAAAGAGCTGCTCGCAGATTTTTATAATTATACGACATTTTGACCTACCTATGCATGGCACCATATCTATCTAGCTTTTTTTTGTTGCTCCGTTGGCTGTAGTTAAGTGTGTATATCAGAGAGTGCGTGGTTTGATGATCTTGAGTGTGATAAGGATGTTGATTTTTCTGCAGTTTTTCTTCTTCCCTTATATAATACAACAAAGCTAAGCTCACCAAGACAACAGAACGAGGATCGCCTTAGTTTTCATTCTCGATCCAGTCCAGTATGATACGTATCTGGCACGTACTAAAGCAAAGACATGCGAAGATGGGATGGTAATAAATCTCGAGGCCGGTGAGTCAGCTGACCACATAATACGGAGTACTCCCTACCGAGTACGTACCTACCAGGTACCTAGGTACGTAGTAATACTCCGTACTTATTATTTCCGGATCCGTTAACTTACGAATAGACCCTGACGGACGGATCCTCCGGACATGTGCTTAGTACTACCTACGTTGGTCTAAATTCTCAATTCTCACGTCCTAATCTGACTCTGAGACGAGTCTGGTTCTCTTCTTTCCCTCCTGGATTTTCTCTGGTCGCGTGATCTTCCGGCCGGCGCTGCGAGGTTCCGCTGCACACCGCTCTGCATTGTTGTCCTGTCCGACTCCTGTTCCTGACGGAGTCCACCTTGGCAGCTATTTATTGAAATTGCTGCCAAGCGGTGTGTATCATCTATACGACATAGTTTGTCTGTCTATCGATGATCTCCTTGCTTGGCTGAGAGTTGCCAAGAGGAGGTCCCATTGCGTTCAAGAGCTGTGCTACAGTCTGTCTCTTTGGTGTCTTTCTGGGCATTCCAGCCTCGACTAATTGGAATGCATGGGATCTGGGATCGCTGGCGCTGAAGCAGGGCGGGGGAGTGGCTTTCAAGGGGCGCATCGAATGTTCGATTCCGGCTCCAGGCGAGGTCAGCTGACCGAAAATCCGGGGAAAGCTGGCGGCGCGCGGCAGCAGGCGCGCAGCTGATTGGCCCAGCGGCGCCGACAGCTCCGCGCGGCAGGCGAATCGCGGCAGCCAGAGGGAGTAACTGTTAGGTAAGCCAAACTGTCGGCACCGCAGTTGAGGTTGGCGGTTCGGCTTCGGCACGCCGGGCACTCTGGGGTAGTGAGTGGGCGGACTGCCCTGACGTATCGCTGGTCCGCCGCTGCGAGCCGCCGCTGTAAGATCGCCTGGTGCGCACCACACGTGCCCGCGCAGTCGCCTTGTTGAGCGGTGCACCCGTTGCAATCCTGGGAAATGATCTTCCGGGGACAGAGGATAGGTCAGAAAGACAGCAAAGGCGTCCTGGACGGCGTGGTGAGCACATGGCAGGACGGTTGCAAACTGTAGGCCGCCCGCATTTCGATTATGTCATAGAATGCATGCCCAGCCAGACACTGGCCCTGGCAGTCACCAAACAATGGTAGCCATTATCCATAGTGAATTGCACCATCGCAGCGCTGTGCTGGCATCGGGACAGCATTCATAGCACAGGAGCAAGCATAGCAATGGTCGACTTATGCAGCCGTGGATCTGCGATGCTACAGGGGCGCAGCAAACAAAGCAAATCACCGTCCAGACTAGCGACAAGCACCGCGATCATTCCTCCATCTCCCTCATATTTGCCCGCAAAACAATGAATGACCCCATCCTACTCCACCAGAACCGTCTGGCTCGCCGAGATTGTTTCACGGTCCTTGCCTTCCACGCCCCATGACCTCTCTTTGCCAGGAAATCGCCTCCGGTGGCCACGAGCCATGGCGCCATCCCGCCAGACCCAATGTCTCCCGGTCTGGGCCCGCCCGCCGCCTCCCATCTCCCCTCGACTGTCCCTTACCCCTTCCTAGCTCTGGATTCTCCTCCACAATGGTGCAGTCGAAAAATTCCACTAGCTAATGAACGAGCCACTACCGCCTGCAGCAGCATCTGTCACCAAGTCCGCTGCCTCACCCTCATTCTTGCGCCATTGTGCACCGGGCTCCGACGGCAGCCGCGCCGCCCTGTCCACCCGCGAGATTCTGTGACTAACAGCTTCTCAAACCTGTCCATTGTCCCCTCTCCCTGTCCGACGAGTCCGTTGCTTCGCCTGTGCGTGCTGCGGAATCTGGGGAAAGCTTCATCCTTCCCCCCTGGCTGCCCCTATTGCACCATCTATTGCGTGCTTGCTTAAAGACACTTGATGCCCCCGGCGGGGCCCGCTGGCCATCATGGACACCGCTCCTCCGCCTGCTCAAAATCACAAACACCCTAGTCCTCGAGTGACCTCGAGTCGTGCCAGAGAAGGTCTTGTGCAAGACCGTTCTCGAGAGTCCTCTCCTTGCTCGCCCACGTCGTCGTCCGCCTCGCCTTCGCGCTCGAGCAGTGTCCGGCGTAGCTCGCTTGGTTCCGTCAAAGAAGACGTTGAGGGTATGCTCCCGCTGCATTATGAGACTGCATCCTATATGCGTTGAAAAACTACCGTGTTGCTCGATTCAGCTACAAACGCTAACCGCTGGTTGCTGCAGGAATCGCCCAGACGTTCGTCGACACCCATCCGCCACCTACGTCCGCGGACCAGACTTCGTCCGCCATGGCTGCTGTGTCGCAGGCTCCTGAATTCTGCTGCCCGTGCGGTGGGTTCCTAGGCTGGAAGCAGATTCGCCTGGGTGGAAGGCGACTGAGCAAGAGCTACGGTGATCTTCGTTTCCTGGGAAGAAGCGCCTCCAGAGGCTGGGCGTGGGAAGAGACCACCGAACGCCCGGTCGTCAAGGAAGCCGACGAGGAGAAACGGCAGCCCGAAAAGCGGCGTGCTTCCCTTGAGACCCTCCCGGTTGAGGTTCTCGGTAAGTGTCTCGTCTTGGGTTGTCTACTTCAGTCGCAGAGCTAACTGCTGCCAGTCCAAATCATCTCCTACTTGGCTCTTGATGTGCCACCCAATGGCTATACGCCCCGGAATGTCGACCTGATCTCATGTCTCCTGACCTCCCGCACGCTTCATTCCGCGACGCTCAGTGTTCTCTACCGAAACATCACAATTCCCCACTCCGTCATCTTCTCCAAATTCCTCCGGCATCTCAATAATTATCCAGCCTTGGGAACTATTGTGCGCCGTCTGGACTTTTCTCATTTCACCTCGGTGGGATTGGGCCGCACCAAGCAGATGAATGTGGAAATCCAAAACCTAACCTCCAAGACACTGCTGCAGTGTCTGGATCTTCTCCCGAACTTGATGGAGTTCCTCCTGCAAGAGCATGTAGAGGATGATGTCAATACCGCTGTAATTGAGAAGATCTTCACTGGTCTACCCAACCTGCGGGCTGTTGACTTCTGCGGCTGCTCGTCGCAGAGCTTTTCCTCAAGTTTCCTGGAAGCACTAACCGGGAGTCCGGCACTCCCATTAACCTTTCCACAGCTGAAGCGCGTGTCCTTGCATGAATGTACCGGTCTTTCCCCCGAAGTTTTTGAGATCCTCCTTCCCCGGCTTATCAACCTTACCCATCTCGATGTAGCCCATACTCAGATCACTGAAGCGGCGTTATTCTCCATCCCCGAGACTGCTCGTATCACCCATTTGAACCTGTCTCGGTGCTCTCGTCTGTCCGGTTCTCAGGTTGTAAAGTTCCTGACGACACATCCTGCCGTTTCCGAGTCCTTGGTCTATCTCAATCTCATGACGGACGCCTCGCGTTATCGGCTGCTTGAGGTAGAAGACGTCAGCGCTCTTCTCCCAATGCTCCCCTCTACCCTGCGGTCTCTGAATCTGGGTGGCGCCAAAGTCGTATCTGAACACGTTTCCGCGCTGATTCCTCTGACGAAACATCTGGAGGAACTTGGACTCAGCACGGCGGATCTATCGATCAGTGACCTGAACTCTTTCTTCGTTCCCCCTGAGCGGCCAAACGGCGATGGTACGGCCGACCAAACATGGACGCCTCCGTCACTGCATTATCTGGACCTGACCAGGGTCCCGTGCCTGTCGCTACCGACGCTCTTCAACCCCAAAGCGTGTGTTCTCGTCTCCCCCCAGAGCGTCCCGCTGGAGGTGCTGGAGCTCAGCGATAAGCTTATCAATCCCCTTCGTGAACGCTCCAAGTCCGGCAAGTCCATTGGTTGGACTGTTCGAGAGCTTGGACGGCGAGGATGGTACGTGCGAGAGCCTGGTGAGCGCTTGAGTCCCGCGGACGACGGTTCGCGCTCGTGGAAGATGGGTGCTCGATGGTGGGGGATGAGGAAGATCCCAGTTGCGGTGGGAGACGTAGGCGGGATCTACGGACACTATATGTTCAAGAGGTGAAAAACGATTCCGGTTGAATCTTAGCTTCGCCTGTCGGTCGGGATACCTTCTCCACTCGATTATCCTTGTCTTTTCTACGACACGATGTATACGGTTATACCCTACGACAGCCACATTGATTTCTGGTTTTTCTGATCATCAGCGTGCATACCATAGCGGGCAAATAGTCTGAGCGTTTTCAGGGCATTTGGTGTCTTCCCAGCGGCCTCAAATGGCGCATGTGTTTTACGGGTTACGACGACTGCGATTACTTTTGTCGTCATTTTTTTTTTGTCAGCCTTAGCGTTAGGTTGTTCTCTACTCTGCTTCTAGCAGGTTTCTGTTTTTGTCATGTTTCTGTTTTTGTTATGATGCATTGTATTATTGTATCAGGGCAGGATCCGGAAAAGTTTTGCATTGTTGTTAATTTTGTCTGCGGTTGAATTGTGTAGTCGATTACCCCAAAGTATATTTATACAGCAACTGAGAGACTCGATAATCCATGAATCCAAGATTTCGTCCACTCCAGCGTAGTTGAAAGCGCATAGAATTGATTCTATTGATTATTATCGGGCGTGTGATCCAGGTTCTAGACCATCACGTGATCGTCCCGAAGCTTTGACTGACCGATTTCCATTTCCATCGGACGAGCTCTGCCACCTTCTTATAACAACGATCCAGACCTCGGTCCACGACGGGTTGCTTGTCCTTTCGGAAGGACTAGCTGAAGAGCATCCTCTTTCTCCTGTTGCCGCCTTCTTCCTCTTCCCGATGGAAGGTGGTCGTGGCGGAGGAGGAATCATCAGAGATTCGGCTCCAGGACCGTAAAAGGCTGGTGGTGGTCTGGTCGCCTCAACTTCCCGTGACGCACACGACGATAATGGCCCCTCCACCCCCGAGCGGGTCGGCGGCATACAAGAAGAAAGATGGCACCTTGACCATGTCCAAGGACCGCCAGTCGCTCTCCTGGATCCCGGCGGCTGGCGGTGCGGCGGGGGCGTTGACCATCGAGGTCAAGAATATCACTAGTACGTGACTACTCGTTTCTTTTTCTGTATGTCTATGTCTAACTGGTGGTTGATCACTAGATTTGCAACAGACGCCGGCGAGTAATCCGAAAGTGATGCTGAGGATTTTTGCCCAGCAGCCTGCGAACGGTAACGCACAGGAACAATACGTTTTCACGTTTACGTCCGCGACGAACGCCCGTGGCGAAGCCGATGCCATCAAGGATGCCCTCAGCGCGGCGATCCAGGCAGCGAAAGCTGCAGCCGCCCCGACGGCGGTCCCCGGGGAAGGGGTTTCGCCGGCCATGGCTATGGCACATGCCATCTCGTCCGCGGGGATGGGGAGACCGGCGTGGGATGATGACAACAAGCTCATCGCGGATGCGGAGCTGCAGCAGTCGTTGCTCAAGTCCGATGCCAACCTGCAACGGATGTTTATGGAATCCCTCCGCACCAAGCCCGACACGCTGTCCGGGGCGCAGTTCGTGTCGCAGTTCTGGTCGACTCGGGTGCATCTGCTGCGGGCCCATGCGATTGAGAAGGCGCAGACACGGGGTTCTTACAACGTCCTATCCACCTTGAAACCTCGTGTCGAGGATAATGTGACCAAGTTAAATATCAGCAAGGAGCAGATCCAGCTCATCTTCACCCAGCACCCACTCGTCAAGCGCGTCTACGATGAGAATGTGCCCAAGCTAAGTGAGCAGCAGTTCTGGTCGCGCTTCTTCCAGAGTCGACTGTTCAAAAAGCTGCGCGGGGAGCGGATCTCCGACACAGACCCTACGGATAATATCTTGGACAAATACCTCAAGATCGATGAACATGCGGGACGATCGCTCGAGGCGCACGTTCCGCACTTTATCGATCTGGCTGGAAACGAGGTCAACCATAGTCAACGCCAGGGAAACCGCCCGGACGTCGACATGCGACCCGCGCCGATGGACAAAGTGCCCATCATTAGGACGCTGAACTCTCTGAGTGAGAAGATCATGGCCAACGTCGCGCCCGCTGACCGGGACCCGACGGCGCCGGTGGGCATGGATGAGATCACGTTCAGCGAGCTGCAGCTTCGAGATCTCCGGGGCGACGAGGAGCAGAACCGCATTAGGTTGAACATTCGCGACCAGAGTCGGTTCTTCTCGCAGGCCAAGGAGAAGGACGAGAGTGAGAACCAGATGTTTGCCAACGTGGACCCGACGCAGATCATTATTTCCTTGCAGACCGACGTCGACCAGACCTTCCCTCCGGACGGCTCGTCATCCCACCTCGGGCGGCTCGTCGAGCCGGAGGAGGATGACAGCGACGAGGAAGAGGGCAAGCAGAGCCAGCAAGTCGGATCCAAGGCGAATCTGCATCGGGCGTCGGCTCAGCTCTTCGACGCTATCCGGGAACGCCGGACGCAGACGGAGACCACGGCCGCCGGTTCAGGGACCTGCGGCCTGTCCCCGGCACTGTTTGATCGCCTCACCCTGACGCATGCCACGACAACGGAGTTCTTGCACCAGTTCTGGCAGGCCTTTCTCTCGGGGAACCCCGATCGTGCCGGCGAGCTGGCCTCCCTCGTCGAGTCGCTGAACCGGGCGATGGAGCGGGTCAAGGCGGTTGCGGCGGACGCGGAGGCGGAACGGCAGGCCGAAATCGAGAAGCTGAAGCAGCATGCGCGGGACGTGCTGGCGGCGACGGGGAAGAAGATCCGGGTCAACCTGGCGGGCGTCGGGGGCGGCGAAAAGGTGGTCAACCAGCTGCTGGGGCCGACGATGAAGGCGCTGGACTTGGCCATCTCTAAATACAAGGAGGCCCTGGCAGAGGCGACGGCGGCGGAGGCGGCGAGAGAAGAGGCGCCGCAGTCGCTGGCCGTTGGTTCTCCTGCGGTGTAGTTTGATGTTTGCGGAGTTAGCGCCACTGTACAGTAGTCTCGATATGAACTGGAACGAATTGGATGACAGATTGAATAATCGTAGTAATTAGTAGCAACTGAGTAAATATTAATGGTCCGTAATCGTCTCCGCATTACTGTATTGACTGTGTGCCCGGCATGCCGATGCACTCGGCGGGTTCCTATTTAGTGCCGGAATAACAACTTTGGCGACGTGTGCAATTCCAGACCTCCGCCAGCTGCACCTCGCACGCATCCTGCTTGATTTCTGCTTCTGCACCACTGCTATCGTCGTCTCCTGCCGTTGGCCGCCTGCCTGCCAGCCTATCTGACCAGCAGACGCGCTGGAAGCAGAGGCCACATCGGCATCTCAGCCCCGCAATTGTCTCGCTGCCCCTGTCCAGCCTACGTCGACGTCACACCCCAGTCGCCTGTGATCTCTCACTGCAATACCGTGTGTCCTCTTCTTATGGTCTTCTGGTGATCAGGAAGGATGCTCTCGTCCGGTTTCGCCAACGCGCCCGTCTCCAAATTCCTCGTCGTCTACGTCGTCGCGTCTTCTGTCGCGCTCGCTATCTTCGACGTCAAGCACCTGGCCCACATCCAGGTCAGTCCGCATCTATGGAGGTATGGGCAGCTGTCGCGCGTGCTGCTGTGGCAGGTGGCCGGGTATGCGAACTCGACAGAGACCTTGTTCGCCGCCATGCTGGCGTACCATCTGCGTGTGGTCGAGAGGATGTGGGGGTCTAGGAAGCTTGCTGTGAGAAAGCCAACAGTCTAGTTGTTTATTTATTTACTTTCATTGAGGATACAGCTAACATGAGGAATGTTGGGAAATCGACGGTAGACTTTTCTTGTGACAACGCTGCCCTACACGACCATCATCACGCCGCTCCTCCTCGCCCTCGTCCTTCGTCCCCTGTCCTTCAACACGCTCAACTATCTCCCGTCTGGTCCGACGGCCACGATTTTTGCTCTCCTGGCGCAATACCATGCGGCTGTGCCCCATACGTTCAAGTATCGCATCTCCACCAGCAGTAGCAGCAACAACAATACTCCTTCCCTGACGATCCTCCTCTCCGACAAGTCAACTACGTATCTTGTCGCGGCCCAGTTGGCTTTGTCTCAGTTTCCTGCGACGCTGCTCCCTGCTGCTGTGGGCTGGGCCGTCGGTGTGGCCTGGCGCGCCGACATCCTCCCGACGTCGCGACGAGGGGGCGGCGGAGGATGGCGAGTTCCGGCCTGGCTGGTGGGCGAGAAGGAGCCCGTGCGACGGCGCTCACCTGCAGGAGCAACAGCCAGCAGCAGCGGTGCTTCGATCAGTGGGGGAGACAGTGAGCGGTACGAGGACCTGCGCAGACGCCTGGACGCAGCGTCGGCAGCAGCAGCAGCACAGGCGGCCGCCAGCAGTGGAGTGGAGGCGTCGCAGCAGCGGCAGAGACGGCCGTTGCTGGAGAGATTTCGGGGCGTTTTCTAGGTGAGCGAAGAGAAATTCCAACGCATGTGTTCCACTACGCATAGTGTAGTATATAGAGGAATTTATTTGTTTGTTATTGTTACTTCTATTTTTAAGCGGGCTGCAACGTGTGGGGTTTCTCCGATCGATCGCGATCTCTGCGGGTCCCCCAGATCGGGCGGTTCCTTCGGCATGACGTCCGAGCTGGATGACACGGGAAAGAACAGGGCTTTTTTTCTTGAGATATGTCCAGACCATGCTGTTGGGATGGTTGCGATACGCTTGGAGATGACAGGACGTGAGCGATGAGCTTTCGGCAAGAGATGACCTGCCGATCCCCGACCCCCATGGTCGCCAAGGGCCCTAGTAGGCAGGTCGTACGCCAAACTGTTTCACTGCGAACCCTGGTCGGCTAGCGGCAATTCGCGACAGAAAGAGGGGATATATGCGGGGATGTCGCTCGGCCAATTGCTGTCGGCGCTCACATCCCTGCTGTCCTGTACTTGCTTTCTCATCACTGTGTACACTTGATTCTGCACGAGATATTTCTTCCCGTCCAGCACAACTCAACATGCCAGGCCGTCTGGAAGGAAAAGTGGCCATCGTGACCGGGGGTGCCTCTGGGTTTGGCCGCGGCATTGCGACCAAGTTCGTTGCGGAGAACGCCAAGGTGATCATTGCCGACCTGTCCGAGGAGAACGGGCAGAGAGTCGCCCAGGAACTGAACTGCGTGTTTGAGCGCGCCGACGTGACCAAACGCGACGACTGGGCTGGTCTGCTGAAAAAGGCGCTGGACCTGTACGGCCAACTGGACGTGGTCGTCAACAATGCCGGCGCGACCTACGTCAACAAGCCGACCGAGCAGGTGACGGACGAGGACTTTGACCTCGTCATGCGGGTCAACGTCAAATCGATCTACCTGTCGACGAGTGTCCTGCTGCCGTACTTTCTCGACAACCAGCGCCAGGGGTCATTCATCCAGGTGTCATCGACGGGGGCCCTGCGTCCACGACCGGGTCTGACATGGTATAATGCGTCCAAAGCGGCCGTGAGCAACGCGACCAAGACGATGGCAGTCGAGTACGGGCCGAAGGGGATTCGTTTCAACGCTGTGTGCCCGGTGGTGGGGAGTACAGGAATGTACGTGCTGCGTGACGAGCTTGGTTGAAACTTCGCTGAGAAGAAAACCTACAGGACACATCTCTTCCTGGGCAAGCCCGATACAGAGGAGAACCGGAAAGGCTTTGTGTCGACGGTGCCGCTAGGACGGCCCAGCACGCCGGCGGACGTGGCGAACGCGGTGTGTTATCTGGCGAGTGACGAAGCGGCGTTCATTACGGGAGTCAATTTCGAGGTCTGTCCTCTGTCAAGTCGAGTGTAGAGTCTTTTACTGATGTATAAACGTATAGGTTGATGGTGGTCGCTGCGTTTGACGGAAAGCAACGAATGAGGTAGAGTACAGTAGAGAAGTATGAAGGCGTACTGTACAGTTCTCACTGGTATTCTGTTGCTTCTTACATGGACACATCTTGATCTGGTCTAAGGTCTAAATCAGCCATTACCCATGAGCTGGGAACACGTGCAAATAGGTTAGGATACCGATGAGTTGATAACTTGAAAGATATCACCAATGTCTGGCAAGATAGCTCACGTACAGTACATACCTTGCCTTGCATGTATCATAAGCAAGAAGAAAGGGGGAAAAAAGATTGAAGTAATGGACCTCTCTATCATTAGGTACTGTATGTATGTGTACATACATACATACTCAAGATATATCATCACATAGAAGATCGGGCTTAATGTTCGAAGAGATGGAAGACAAAGTCGGCCGCTAGCTATTATCAGTTGCCTCTTTTAGGTTGAGAGGAGAGCACAAAACTAAGCAGGTATTTGATATATCCACTTATCTTCCCCAACAATGGACAGAGAATAATAATGGTCATAGGTACTCAATGGGGTATTAATCCTCGGAGGAGGAAATCGGGATGCTCTATTGGTAATACAAGTATATTTCCATTTCTGCTTTATTCTTCTAGCTAGCAGCACTAATACTCCCATGTTCAGTTAGCCCCCAATCTTCCTCAGTATAGTTAGTAGTATTCGACAATCCTTGGCATCGATCGATGAGGGGAATAACGCGCAAAAGAAAAGGTGTCCCTTGTAATTTACTCCTGCTTGAGATATATACTTTTGATGCGCTTTGCCCGAATCTTGCTCTTACGCGGCCCCATATGCTCCTGCCCGCTTCTACTACTACTACTACTACTATATTTATCAAAGCCCCAACGTCATTAACATTATATTATACCCAGGATATACATTGCCGGGGGTTGAAGACGATTATATTGCATCGGTGCTGTGTTATAACCATAGCCTGTCTGCGGTTGCTGTTGATGTGGTGGTGTCATGAAGTGACCTCCCTGTTGCTGCGCTATCGAGAAGTTTTGCCATGGCGTACTAGGTCGAAGATGCTGCTGTTGTTGTCCATAATAATTCATGGCCGGATTCGCGGGAAAAGTTGTTGGTGCAACCAAGGTAGGCAGTCTTAGACTGATGCCAAGTCTGTCTTCTCGCAGCATGTTTAGCCGAGCAATCTCTGAGTCTCGTTGGCCTTTCTTGACTCGCATGAGATAGTCATCAAACTCTCTGTAAAGAGAAAATATTTAGTAAGACACCATCAAGAAACTCGACCTAAGACGGTTTGTACTTACCTCGACGCTTTCGCCACAGAAACGAAATCATCTACTTTCAACATCAATGGCTCTCCATCTTGGCTTCGATGCTTTGCGAGGGCAAGAGCGCTCTGGAAAGCATTTCGAATCTGTCTCCCGTTCCAGGCCAGTCCCTCACCGGTGATGTTCCAGAGTTCTGCGAAGTGCTGCATCGCATAATCGATAATTGCATCTTCATCCATTTTCAAGTCACTCAGTCTCTCTTTCGCACGACGCATTTGTGATTTCCAGATTGCGATTGTCTGGCGTTGATCAAGAAACGGGTAGTACAACGCCATGTGGATTCGTGATTTGAAAGCTTCATCCATCGAACCCACGCGATTGGTGGTCAGGAAAAGCAACCCTTCATAGTATTCTAGAATTCTGAGGAAGACTATAAGGCGTAAGTTTTTGCTAGTCACGCTCGGAGAAGAAACAGCTTACCTGACACGAGAGCATTTCTTTCCAGATCTGATGGAATGCAGTCAATTGCTAATCCGGCACCAAATCAAGACGCACTTGAAGAGTTTAGGGAGGATATAGGACTACTCCGCGACCAATCCAACAGCACCTCACGGAAGGTGGACCAGATCCTTATTTCAGTAGTTACTTACGAACCTCCACCGCCGTATTCAGCCCAGTCAATTGTCAGCGTTGACGAGCTCGCAGCTATACTCGCTGTAGTTCCCAGAGGACACCAACAGGACATGGACTGGGCATTGGTCACCGACCCTCGACGCAATCTTCTCCGACAAAAGCGCGCTGCATGGCTTGCCAAAGATTTTCAATTTCAATCCTGGCTTAGCTCGAATTCATCTGACATGCTTCTCGTCAATGCCATGGAAACGACGTGGCCGATGGACGTCCCTTCCTCCACGACCTACCTCATCTCTCTTCTGTCACAAAGTCTCTCCAGTCGCAAGGCCGCGCTTCCTCTTACCTTCCTCTGCGCCATGCATGCCAACCCAGGTGACTATCTCGAAGGCCCTTGGGGACTTCTCCGGAGCCTCAGCTACCAGCTAGTTACCCAATCCTCCCTCAATGATTCAGATCTCTCCTTCATGGATCTCCAGCTTCTCGACGGCCTACGTACCTACGAGATCTCTAGTTTATGTGATCTCTTCCAGCGGCTACTTAGCACGGTGGGTTTGCAGACTTGGCAACCCATTTTCTGTCTCGTAGACGGGATATCGTGGTTCGAGGACGGGATGAGGCAGAGAGAGATGGGCGGGGTGATGAAGTCGTTGAGAGAGTTTGTGGAGTTCCTGAAGGTGAATCAGGCAGATACGGGAATCATATTGAAAGTGCTTGTCACAAGTCCGACGGCTGTGGGGTTTGAGGCTCAAGGGTGGCTGAAAGGTGTAAGGGAAATCAAATTGCTGGACGTTGTGCTGAGTGAGGATGTGCTGGATGGAGATACATTGCTGGGGTGATTGGAACTTGAATTCAAGAATGTCATCAGTGCGATATAACGCAGCAGAGAATCTTCTAATAGAAACGACGATTGAAGGAGCGTTGTCTCATGCAGCGACATTGACGGCCATACCTTCAGTACGTAGTCGGATCCTCCACCCCATCACGTGTGATCATTGAAGCACGTGGACCATTCTTTTACTACACTAAAGACCGTCTGTAGCTAGTTTAGGAGCATCGTTCCTTACACACGCTTGACTGCATAACGCATCATAGATGTTCATCTTGAAATAGGTGACTCGATTCTCTCAAAACCAGTCTCAACCTGCAGAACCTAACATTGGTCGCATAGCTTGAAGAAATAGAGGGTAGAAACTATGGCATGCTATATGCTACTTATTTACTAACCTTGTCAATATTGACTGAGGGAGGGCAACAGGGATGTGACATGAATTGAATTCTTAGAATCTTAGTAGGTACCTGCTTACCCTGCATGATGAATAAAAGATGGGCACTGGGGCCAGCTGCAGACGCACACAATTGGCAGAAACTATAGGATTATAATTTGCTAATGCTCTATTCAAGAGCTCAATTCAGTCATTAAATGCTGTTTTCTATGTACTATCCTTCTATAGGTAAGGCTGTCTCTGATCTACACTATATGATAATGTCGACACTAAATTCTTACGCAACAATAAAATATTGGTTTTATGATGGGATGGATATGGACCAATTAAAAACAATCTCATTTATCCACCAGCAAGGGTTTAATTGCTTCACCCTGTGCTATACTGCTCTTGCGTCTCTTCTAGAACTCTCCAGCTGTGCTCAGACGTAAATGTCATAAACGATATTTATATGTCGGGGAATTCTCCGGGGCACGGACCAGGCCCGTGCGGCTGTCGGACTCGCTGCGGGTTTGGCCATTCCCGATGCGGCAAGTGAGAGCTCTCCTCCTCTCTCTCCAGATCCACTACGAAGTTAACGACTCTCCACCCGCGGGGAAGACGACGACATCCCCAGAAACCTGGCCATATAGCCTGAATTGTCTCTTTAGCCTAAACCCCACGTGCGCTATGCATCGTTCAATCCGCGATATAAAGGGCCGCTGGAGCCCTCAATTGACCCAATTGACTGCCAACGGCTCTCTGGCACGACACGACGATGCGTCGTCTCTTGTTGCTCGCCTCGGCCGCCCTCGTGGCCGCTGAGAATGGCCTGGATGGCTGGCTGCGCTATGCGCCATTGCCCGGGGCCAGTCGCTATCTGCACGATCTTCCCTCCTCCATCGTCTCTCTCAATGCCTCCGAGACCAGTCCCGTTTATGTAGCCGGGTCCGAGCTGCAGAAAGGCTTGCAGGGCATCTTTGGCAAGCAGGTCTCCATCAGCCACCAGAACTGCAACGCCTCGTCGTCGATCGTCGTCGGCACCGTTGACGAATATTCCAAGCTCTGCGGTAGCTCTGCTGCGCTGCCGGAGCTCGAGCAGGACGGTTTCTGGCTCAGCACAAAGGGCAACTCGGTCCAGATCCTCGGCCGCAACGAGCGCGGTGCTCTCTATGGCGCTTTTGAGTATCTGTCCATGCTTGCTCAGGGCAATTTCTCCCAAGTCGCCTACGCCAACAATCCCCGCGCTCCGATCCGCTGGGTGAACCAGTGGGACAATCTGGATGGCAGCATCGAGCGTGGCTATGGCGGCGCCTCCATCTTCTTCGAAAACGGCGGCGTCGTCAGTAACTTGACTCGCGCCGCCCAATACGCCCGCCTGCTGGCCTCCATCGGCCTCAACGCGGTCGTGGTCAACAATGTGAACGCCAATGCCTCCATCCTGACTCCCCAGAACATCGAGGGCTTGGGCAGAATCGCCGATGTCTTCCGCCCCTATGGCGTCCAGCTGGCCCTCTCGCTCAACTTTGCTTCTCCGACCATCATTGGCGGCCTCAGCACCTACGATCCCCTCGATCCCTCGGTCATTGCGTGGTGGACCAACGTCACTGACCAGCTCTACCAGCGCATCCCCGACTTTGCTGGCTACCTCGTCAAGGCCGACTCGGAGGTCAGCCGGGCCCATTGACCTACAACCGGACCCTGGCCCAGGGGGCCAACCTCTTCGCCAAGCCTCTTCAACCCTACGGCGGCATCGTCATGTTCCGGGCATTCGTCTACAACCAGCTCAACGAGTCGGACTGGAAGGCGGACCGTGCCAAGGCAGCTGTGGAATTCTTCCAGGGTCTGGACGGTCAGTTCGACGACAATGTGGTTGTTCAAATCAAATACGGCCCCATCGATTTCCAGGTCCGCGAGCCGACGTCCCCCTTGTTCGCCCACCTGCGCAACACCAGCACTGCCATCGAGCTGGAGATCACTCAGGAGTACCTGGGACAGCAATGTCATCTCGTCTACCTTCCCCCGCTCTGGAAGACCGTCCTCGACTTTGATCTCCGCGTCGACCAGAAGCCGTCGCTGGTGCGCGACATCATCACGGGCCAGCGCTTCAACCGGACTCTGGGCGGATCGGCGGGCGTCGTCAATGTCGGCACCAACACCACCTGGCTTGGAAGCCACTTGGCCATGTCCAACCTGTATGCCTACGGCCGCTTGGCGTGGGATCCCGCCAACGACCCTCAGAGCGTGTTGCAGGACTGGATTCGGCTTACCTTTGGTCTGGACCGTAGCGTCATCGACACCATCACCCAGATGTCCATGGAGTCGTGGCCCGCCTACGAGAACTACAGCGGCAATCTGGGAATCCAGACCTTGACCGACATCTTGTACACGCACTTTGGGCCCAATCCGGCCTCCCAAGACAACAACGGCTGGGGGCAATGGACTCGTGCGGATCACACGTCGATTGGCATGGATCGCACCGTGTGGAACGGCACCGGATACACTGGTCAATATCCTCCTGAAGTTGCGGCCATGTACGAAAACATTGACACCACTCCGGACAACCTTGTGTTGTGGTTCCACCATGTGAACTACACCCATCGTCTGCACTCGGGCAAGACGGTCATCCAGCACTTTTACGATGCGCACTACAGCGGTGCTGAGACCGCGCAGACGTTCCTCACCATGTGGGAGTCCCTCAAGGGCAAGATCGACGATGAGCGATACAACGACGTCCACTTCCGCCTCACCTACCAAGCCGGCCATTCGATTGTCTGGCGGGACGCCATCAACAACTTTTACTTCAATCTGTCCGGCATTCCCGATGAGGCCAAGCGCGTTGGCAATCACCCCTGGCGCGTGGAGGCCGAGAGCATGACGCTGAGTGGCTACAAGACGTACGCCGTCAATCCGTTCGAGACGGCGTCCAACACCACGGCGATCGTCACGACCACCAACAGCACTGTCGGTACGGCCACGACCAAGCTCGAGTACCCGTCTGGCACATACGACCTCGCCGTGAACTACTACGATATGTACGGCGGCAAGTCTCACTGGCAGGTGTACCTCAACAACCGCAAGATCGGCGAATGGGTTGGCAACAGCGAGGACACGCTTGGCCACACGCCCTCCATCTACCTGGATGGACACTCGGCGACGCGCATCACCTTCCGCGGCGTCAAGATCGAGAAGGGCGATGAGCTGAAGATTGTGGGCACGCCGGATGGAGTCGAGCCGGCGCCGTTGGATTATGTTTCTGTCCTTCCAGAGGGTGTTGTCGATTAAGTATAGTCAGACCTATCGATGTAACTAGGCCAGACTTTTCGGCCATCATGTATGTATACTTGTTGATTTATATCTCCTTAAAATCCTTTTTGTATGTACAGTACATACATATGTAGTGGTAGAACAGGATTGCTCATTTCTTCTTTACGGATCTACTGGTAATTTTTTTCAGGGATTTGATCGCTAGCATCTATCTATGGTAGACTCTGCTGGATTGCGTCTGAACAAACGCAGCAGCTCTCTTTCTTTCTTCTTTCTCTTTAAAAGCCTTTACTTAGATTAGATTACCTACGTACTGCTAGTAGTAGGTATGTACCTACCTAATAGTCCTATCTATCTATAAGGGCTATGGGAATGAAAAAAAAAAAGAATGGAGTTCAGTCAATGATTGCACAATACATACCTTAGAAGGGAGAGAGGCCCTTCACTTACTAAAGACAAAATAATACCTTTTGCCTAGGTAGGTAAGCTTAGTTGGGCGTGCTGAGTTAGGTAGGTCGGAATATCATTCAAAAATCTGCGAGCGGCTAGCTCATTCTTGCCTCACCCAGATATTATATATATGGTGCCATAACTGTACTTTGATCATGCTGTCTCACCCTTATATTATAGTGGTAGTCTTAGGGTTTTGAAGCGAGATTTATATACCTGTCAAGTCTCACGATAATGATGACATCAACCAGTCTTAGGTACAGTACACATCAACCAGTTCAGTCAGTATAAAGAAATTCGTTCTCCTTTTTAGTCCTTTACTTCATTCTTTTCTTTTGCATCCACTCCAATTACTGTGATGATCCCACTTCTCTGGACAGTCAAAATCTACTGCCTCGCCTGCGGCACCCTGATAGAACCGGACGCTCGCGTATCCATAAGATGCGAGCGAATCAAGGGATGGGGACCGTCGGATCCCGAGTTTTTGTACTTGCCTGCTGCGCAGGTGGAAGATATGTACTTTAGCAAAAGGCAGGCGTGGATGTGGGTGAGCCTGTATCGATTGAGTGAGTTGATACGTATACATTTGTCCTAAAGGATGTTCTGGATGTTCATGATTTTGCTTGCTTTGTCAAGTTATCAGAGATCCCGGTCAAAGTCCTGGGCAACAAAGTGGCCAAGACGATCGCCATCAACCTCGTTACCGACTGTCAGGGATCGCGCAGTTTACCACCGAGATGATGGACACGTTCCTGGTTCCGCCAGACCGGGATAGGGCCATTATCGGTAGGCATCGTTACCGCCGTCGGGCCTCAACCAAGCTTGAAGCGGTCTTGCCTGACGAAAGCATGCTGCCTCCGGCCATTTCCCCTTTTTACTGGGATAATAATAAGAAGAAGAAAGCCAAAACCACTAACGATAATAATCCACGACTGTATGGCTACCCTATCCACGCGCGCTGCTGGACCCTGATCGAGCAGGTTATCGGCCCCGGAGTTGCTGAGAGGCATCTGGAATTATTCCTACAGACACTCAAACAGCAATTCAGGAAACGGATCAATCCAGCCCGGAGCTGGGCTCAAGACGCCTGGTTTGGACGGTATCCTGAGCGCTATGTTGCCATGACCGCAAAGATACGATATCTCTACCGCGACCCTGTCCGAATCCCCGCAGTTCGGGATCTGCTAAATACAGCTGTACAAAGAAAGCCAAAGCCAAAGCCAAAGCCTCAGTCTAACGGCTCTCGTCGCATCAAAAGAAGGAGAGAAGATGATGACGATGATGAAGCGATAACCAGACAATACACCACCAGACGAATCTCTCGGTTCTCGTCGGCACTTGGGAGGAGCCCCTTTGGCCCGGCCATCGACCTCCCGATGGATGTCCAGTGTCTCATCCTGGACCAGTTGGACCGACACGATTTCGCCATGTTACATGAGGCCTTCAGTGGCCCGGCAGCGGAATGGCGCATGCCAGACTCATACTGGCGGAGCAGAGTGCCCCGGATCCTCGTCTACGAAATCCAGGAGTTGCTTGCTGCCAATAGGGACAACAAACCGGTTGATATGGATATGGAGATAGAGATAGATTGGGAGTACCTCTGTCTCCAAGCCGAAGAACTGATCGAGACATCCGACGGATTGCGGAACAGACGGCGGATCATGCGAATTTTGGAAAAGACCAAAAAACGCTTCTATCGCATGTTGAGTAATAATGAACATTCCCGTCTTGATGAGGAGGATTGCCATGAGGGGAGTGACTGTGATGAGAATGGCTATGATGGAAATTGTCAGAGCTGGAACTGGAGTGACGGCGACTGTTCCTTTGGTGAAGAGTCTCTTGACAAGGATAACGACAGCGAGGGTAATGAGTAGATTCGGTTAAATCTGGCTTTTTTTTTCACGGGAAGTGATTTTTTTTTAAAAAAAAAATATAGCAATGCAATGTGTAACGCCGATATACCCACAACATTTCCTCTTATTCATTCCCCATTGTGCTCCGCCGGCTGAAATCTATATACAAAGTCATATATCTATATGTAACAAGGTATGATTGGTTGCTTATGCTGTAGCTTACTACATTTTACTATATTCTATCTATGTAGCCTACAAGAAGGTGTTCATGATTTAGATCAGTTCAGAATAACCATTTCTCTAACCTAGATAATCATTTTTCTGAACTCAGTTGACCTTGCTCCAGCAGCACCACCAGCTCTAGTGATTGGCAAGGATCCAATCAAGTGCATCTTGCACAGCTACACAGTTGTGCTCGATGTGCAGCAGGGCAGCGTGGTCTGCTCTCCAGAACTTAATACCTTGTTGCGGATCATGGTACTTGTAAAACTTCACCCATCGACTCACCGCCACCGCTCCATATACACCCCGTCTCTGGAGTACGGGTCTAGTGCCATGAATAGCTGCGAGGTAATTCTGTAATTGTTGGGCCCCTTCGCTCCAAGCAGCATCCCCGCTCTCACCACTAACAGCGTTACATAGAACGAGGGGGAAAAAAAGACTCGCCCGCCGGTGCGATAGTGGAAAACGTTCAGGGCCGCAAAGCGCGTGTCAATCCTGTCTTCAGGCCGAATGATATACCCATCTGCGGCCGGAAACTGGCGATGCAGGATCGCGTTCCAGATCCCTGCGACGACGCTCTCTGGGTCCCCGGGGCTCAGATCGCGAATCTCCTGTCCTATTGCCGAGACTCCATAGTACTACCAGGTATTAGCACAGTTGATCACCGTTGATGGAATAATACATACCGTTCCCAGCTGGGCAGGAGTCAGTCCAGGCGGGTTTTAAAGTGGAGGAGGCAAAGGCCGAGCCATAGTAGCTTCGACCAAAAACAGCTATCGAGATGGGCTTGATTGGCTTTGTGCAGTGATGTGATGTTGCTTATGATCGAGATAGAACGTCTTCAAAGTAGAGGTAGGAAGGTAGGACGATTCCTGAGAGAATCAAAAAGTAGAGACGCATGCTTGTTAGAATTTATATAAGACAGTCGAACTAGGTGAATATCTTGAATAATGCCTGTGAAATGGGTACATGAAACGAATTGACCGGTATTTACCGCAGAATTCATAATGGTTTACCCTAATTTAAGAGAGCTCCTTATCTTCTCTCTAGTGGAAGCGATTTTCGATTCCATTACCTTTCCATTCACTCAAGTCTTCAGAGTTAATCCTAACAGTCACTAGTTTTATCTGATGATATCCCACTACTATCAAAGCCAGGCAGCGAATTCTTTATATGGATGTACCCAGACATAAGATACGTCTTTGGTATAAACAACCCCTAGAATTGCTCGTTCCTCGAGAATCTGTATTCAACATGCTATGTAGGTAAATTACAGTCTGATACGGACAGTATGCTGGCGTATTCTATGGCTTCAAAAGGTGAAGTAGGATTCACTGTCCACTAAGTTTCGGGTTTTGGACTAGTACAGCCCACAGTCTATCTGAAGTCAATAGTCTGATTGGGAGCGAAGTAGTAATGACTGTGATTTGAATGGCTAAGATGGGGATTGCCGGAATGAAAACTGTTCTGTCAGCATGACAATTATATAATCCAGGCCCTACTGCCAGATGTACTGAAGTATCTGGATGCAGTAATGGAAGTACATGTATCTTTCCCGGGGCCGGAATGGAGTCAGGAACTCCACACGTCTGTCCTGGAGGTCGGACCACTTCATTTCCACCCATGGATGGATGGGTTTTCCGAGCTTGTTCCACTTCAGGTCGATAATTCGAATCTTGTATTCACGGGGCTCTCTCTTGATCCAGCCCCTGATATCCGTTACGCTTGGCCTGTCTGGCAGGTCCGGGACCAGCACGAGATTCCCGGAGTCGAAAAACTCTTCGATGCACGACGATATGAGCAGCCCATTTCTGGGCGAGAACAGTTCAGGGCTCTTTCTTGCCCGGAAGACCGCATCCATTGTGTCCTGACCGTGCATATACGGAAATAGATGCGCGGCTTTCATTTGCTTCGAAGGGGTCCACTTGCGCATGATCGGGCACCAAAGCAAATCTTCATCCTCAGGTTGTTGGCTTCCATAGCTTTAATCATATCCTTCCGGAAGTCGGTTTGGAGTTTCCCATCTCACTTTCCTGCGCCAGTATCCTTAATGCCTAGGCCCATCTTACTTGTCGTAAATAGTTTCATGAAGCTTGCTCGTAGAGAGCGCTTCCCCTTCTCGGCAAGATTTTCCGAGCGCTGGCTGCATATCCTCTGCTGTACCTTATGCGCCTTGATCCGTTCGAATATCGCTTTGGCCTCTTCTGTGGCCGCGAGCGTCTCGAAGCAATTCTCAAACCACAAAACTGTGTTGGTGGTCATAGTATCCAGGTATACCCTGGTTCTTTCTTAGTCCATAGACGAGGCGACATCTTTGCAAAGAATGTAGACTAACTGGAGATATTCCTCCCAGCGGAGTACCAGATTGACATTCCTCCCAGTCGTCCTGCGGTAGACTGTCTGGAATATATCGAGTTTGTCTCAGATGGCGCGGGCGGCCTCACGCAGCCTTTTATTGGCATTCCTATCCGCTATGTATGCCTAAGTAGCGGCCACTCGTTTGAGCTCGTCTTGTTTTGAAGAGCCATTTTGTAGATTTGTTGAACAGAGATGTCTTTCTCTCTTTGACAGACTTTGCAAATTGTCACAAGACAGACTCTCTCGATACATCGTACTCTTCGTTGACACTCGCGTCTATCCAGACTGTGTCCTCATCATTCTCAAGCTCGTCTGTATCTCCTGCTGTAGGCTTCAGGCCCTGTAAAGTCTCTCAGCGAGACTTTTCGTTCTGTCTCGGCTCTTTTAGCCATGAGGTCATGCACTTCGGCCGCTTGCGTCCAGAACTGCGCATTGAATGATCCCTGAGGCCTGAGCCTCTTCTTCGCGCCTCGGAGCAAGTCGTTGAGCTCCCTTTCTAGTTCCTCCAGCGACTGGGATTCCTCTAAGGGCCGCTTGCTGGAATAGCGAGTGGGGATGTCTGGCCTAGACACAGACGACATCCTGATATATAGAGGGGGCGAGGGGACAACGATGAGGGTGAGAAAAGAGTCGAATTCTCTAAGTCAAAAGAGAGAAGGAAAAAAAAGGGTGGGGAGTCGTTCTTCTTCCTCTTCTGCTGATGCTGCTGCCGCAGGACGATATTGTCGTGCGTGCGCAGCGTCGCTGAAAGAGGCCATTGCGGCGGGACAGCATAGTCGAGTGGTTCTCGCCCATACTCGGAGAGAGATGAAAGATGCTTGCATTTATGAGTCTGTTTTCTTTCTTCGACCAAGCTGATAATGATAATGACGCCTCGAGTTCCACATCTGTCTGATTTTGCAATCTATATGGGCAGTACTGTACAGGAACAGTATATGACCTACCTAGGTGGTTTTACTTTGGACTTCTGGTCTGGTCTGGTCTAAAATAAATAATCTTAATTAATACCTACCTCGATATAAAAAGCCCGGTAAATCTCCTAAAAACAATATTCTCCCTATTGCTTACATTCTATTCTTTGATAACTTTCATCTGTTACTAGTATATTATTTTTTTAGAGCTCGCTGTTATATTTATATACATTCAAGTAAAGCCTATGCAAAGACTAAGCTGCCCCATTGGAAGTATACCAGAACATGAAAGTAGGAATCTTCTAGGCAGTTTCTTGATATTTATAGATGCAGGAAAGCTTTGATAGCTATTGCCTGGTCTCTTTTCAAGATGATCCGCATTTGACAATTGTCATTTATGCAATGGCCCAGAAAACATAGAGACAGCTAAAGAGATCGTGACGAGACAATAGACAAATATACGACAGGATTCTCCAAACAGCACATCCTAACAGTGAGGAAGTGGACCGGACCCTACAGTATACAATATATAAGAGGCAGAGAGACCAGTGTAAGTAAGTAAATAAATATAGGAAAAGATGGCTTTTGATCGCAAGCAAGCTGTCTTAAAGCAGTTAGCATCTTCTAGCTTCTTCATCTGATCAGAAAAAGTGTTCTAAAGTATAAAAAATGACCACCTCATATAAACTTATAAGGAGTAGTGTTGACAAGTACCTATATTGGGAACCTACCAGAAGGAGACAGTAAGCCCGGCACATGTGCTAAATAATAAATTGTAGCAGAAAAGCGAACCCCTCACAGGCTACAGCCATAATAAGCTCACAAATGCTGAGAATAATACAACATCTCAAGATCTAGATCTAGATCTATTCTAGTTCTGGCATGGTCCGCGCCAACTACTCTTTTCTTTCCATCAATCGTTGAATTTCTCGTGGGCTGGCTCCCTGAAAGGATGAAATTAATTGCCCGTCTTCTAGTTAGTCATTCTCCAATATCACTATTTTCAAAATCCATCTCTTACTATTATCTATCTATCTATCTGTTGCTACAGATCTATCTGGGTACTAACTACTATGTATAAGGTTAAGTACCTAGTGTAGTGAATAGCCAAAAGAAAAAAAAGAGAGAGCGAGAGGGGCAAAAGAGGGAAAAAAAACTCGATAGATTTTATTTTTCTTCAACGAACTCTTTTTTTTTTGAATTGTATCTGTCCATCTCAAATCCTAGTTTTCTTACCTCAGTGCCATCGATAATGTCAAGTCCTTCCCTTTTCGGCATTTTTCAACCTTCTTATTTCCTCCGACCCCTTCCGATCGATCCGATTCATCCCGATCACAAGCACCACAGTCACGTAGAGGTTATTATTAATTAATTAGGGCGCAAATAATTAGGGCACAAATTCAGTGGATATACTGAGTATGGAGACACTGGACCTTGCACAGAAGCAATAATAAATGACGTTCGTTATATTGCATTGCCAAGGCCAAGGCCAAGGCTAACGCTATTTTATCTTACCTGTGGAGTATATAGTACAGAGACTCCATAATAATTAATACTAATTAATTAACCCACTAATTAATCTGATCTAATTAGCTGGACGAATTTTTTTTCCCCCAACCCTGACCGGCGTCCCAAAACAGATAGGGCGTATAATTGGAGGGCAGCGCAGTGCAGAACTGCAGACGTCATTGCAAGCAAGAATCCTGGTTAAATAATTAAGGGTTCGTAAAATTATTATTAATTATTGAACCAATTAACGGTGTAATTATTAATTACTCCTTAATTTATAGATTAATCAATGATCAGTAATTGATAATTAATGTTTGTTATTACTGTACGGAGTATGCTTAGTACTGGTGAATAATGGAATCATAATCTCGGGTCACTCGGCCCGACTCGAGAGAAGCTGACGACTGACGACTGACGACTGACGACTGACAGCTTACGCAGTATTATTAACAGCTAGCTCGCTAGCTAGGTAATTAACTGGCTGATCTGATCTGATAAAATCTATTCGTTTTCATTTGTTTGTTCTTGTTCTTATTCTTCTCCATACCGACCGAACAACCGCCGATTGAATGAGTGAATGAGTAAGTGAATGAGTAAGTGGTGGCGATATTATTATTAAATTCCCTTCTTTTAAAACTAGCGTCCCAAAAAAAAATTAAAAGTAAAACACCGAGAAAAATGCGAAAATGCAACATGCAAAATTCGAACAGTGCATACAGTACTGACTACTGCGTACACTTCCATCCAATCCAACGGAGTGCTGTACTCCGCAAGATCAAGTACTCCGTAGACGTACTGCGTACGAAGTACTCCATATAGGCAGCCGTGCTAAGGCATGCTAATGCACCTCATAAATCAGACACTACGAGATGCTAGCGTACTCCGGCTTTCATTGGGCCAGTCTGACGGACCTCAGTGCTCCGGATGCACGCACTAGACTAGGGGATCAGACCTTAGTACGACGTGCTACGGCCGGCTAGTGGTGATCTGACATCATCGTCATGGATACGTAGGAACATCCGTACGGAGTAGGGGTACGGAGTAGCTTGGTTGCTGTCTACTGACGACACCACGACATAACCTTACTCAGTTACTAGTATATATCAAACTCAATTCGACTTAGGGTTATGCTGGAATTGAATTCCGTTGCTCGCATTCATCTATCTTATGGATGTAAACTCATGAACCATGTTCGTAATCGAGGATATCATGCAGATTCAGATGCCGCAGCATCGAATAGCAGTAGCAATAGCAAACCGTCTGATCCACCGGAACGCCTCTAGAAACCAGATGACCGGAAAAGAAAGTCGACAATCCGGAATCCATGCCAGAAAAAAAAAACACAATCAATGGCAGAAATCTACTCCACCGCAGAAATGCTCTCCCCATTCAGAACCGGGTTGATCTTGTCGTTCCACTTGAACTTGAATTCCTGGCCCAGCTCCTTCCGCACGGCCGCCTTGACCGCCTCCAACACGTTGTCAAACACGCCAAAGTTGGCCGGGTTGTTCGGGTCGTTCTCGCCCTCCTTGCCCTGGAACACGCCCGTCCGCACCAGACAGGTGTTCCAGCCGTACATGTTGCCGCCGATGATGTCCGACGCCGGGTTGTCGCCCACCATGTAGATGTTCTCCGGCAGCCGCTGCTCGTTGTGAATGATTTCCATCCACGCCTTGAGCACCTCGTCCGCGTACTTGTACGTCGCCAGCTCCGGCTTGCCGTACACGACACGCTCCAGGTCGACACCCGTGAGGGCCTTGTACATCGCTTCGACTCCAATGCGGAACGCACCCTGCGTCATCCGGGGCGGGCCCTTGTGGTCGGTGGGGAAGACCAGGTCACCCTGCGAGAAGTAGATGGGAATCCGCGACGAGACGGGGTCCTTGGCCCGCGTCAACAGCCGGCCGTTTTCGGACAGCAGGAGATCGATGATGAGCTGCATGTCGGTGGCATAGTCGCGCGAATCGGCAAAGACCAGGATGGCGTCGAATTTGACCTTGGAAAAGTCGCGGGGCCGGGCCTGCGCGCGCTCCTCGGGCGTGAAGTTGCGCCACGGCGAGATGGTCGGGTCCCAGGCGAGGATGTCCTTGGGGTGGACGACGTTCTTGAAGCCGTAGTTCTCCGCTACTTCACGGACCTTGAAGCCTTCACCGCCCAGCACCAGGACGGTCTCGTAGTACTCGGCCAGGGCCCGCATGGGGGTGTGGGACTGGATGAACTGGTCAGTCGAGATGGGGCAGCCCAGGATCTCCGACAATTGCTCGGTGCGAGCCTCTTCGGTCTTGCCGCCACCGTTGGTCAGCAGGATGTAGGGGATCTTGATGCCCAGCTCGTTGTCGCCGTTCAGCATCTTCAGAGCTTCCGCGGCCTCCGGGATGAGCTCGTTGCCGTGAGCCAAGACACCATCGATATCGAAGACAAAGGCCATGTTCTTGGCCGCCTTGACCTTCTCTTTGGACATGTCCTGGACCTGCGAGGCCAGGATGTCGCGCGTCACTGCCGCCGAGATGCCCCGGTTGCCATCCGCCGTGACAACCGATGACAGACGGGAGGGACGCGGGGACCGGGGAATGGGCAGCGAGGTGCCAAAGGAGTTGCGGGAGCCCCGGTGCTCGCGCATGGAGGGAGACAAGCTCAAGTTGTGCATGTACTGGGCGGCATCGCTGATGGAGCTTCGCGAGGCAGGCACCTCGACGACTTCGCTGTCGCGACGTTGGTGGGCGGGGATGCTGATCGTGTGGTCGGAGGAGCTGGCCTGGGAGTCCTTCTCCTGGGGAGCAGGGTCGACAGCCAAGTCAGCGTCGTCAAAACGAGGCATGATGAAGGCTTAAGTGGTGATTAAGTGATGAGTTGGATGTAAGGATGGGATGGGTTTGATGGGTTGGAAGAAGCAGAAGAAGAGAAACAAGAAGAATTGTCTGAGGCAGTGAAGTTCAGACAGTGGTTCCTTCTTTGTTTGGGACGGGGCGAAACTCGCAAGGCACGAGTTTCGGGCCACCAGGGAGACAGGAGGAGATAAGGTCTACCAGCAGAGGAGGAGCCATCCAAGGGACCAGGGACACACGAGCCCATATATAGTCTGTGACACCACGCAGGTTGTGATGTCCAGTGGCGGTCCGTATAGGAGGTAGCAGCAGCGCTCAGGACCGGGTCCACCGGTGAGTATCATCATTCCTAAGAATTATCGTCATCACGACTGCCAGCCTGCCATGATTCCTCCAGAGCGGAGCAGCAAGGGCAGGAAAAGCGGATCTTGCGGGAGATGCACCCAGGGCTGGTGACAGTGGTTCTGGTGGATCAGGACGCGCAGGGCTGGCTATCAAGCGCCGACACCTGGCGCCAGTGGGCTGCTGCTGGCCAGTTGCGCGCTGTCTGGGGCCCTGGTTCGAGCGGTTCCACGCAGCTTATCCAGAGGCCGGCGATACCTACCCGTGGGACAGGGATGTCAGTGACGTGATACACCAGGCAGCGGACTGAAAATCGGCAGAGGATGCAGCTGCAGC